GTTTACACTGCCAGCAGAATATACAACTCTGGGGTTTAGAGAATTCTGGGCTAGAGATTAATATGTGAATATAAAAAAGGGTCCTATGAAAAGTAACCACACAGGTGATCTGATCATAAATTCCTAACTGGGCAGGTCACTCCCAAAGCGTATATCTTTTAAGTGTAAGGTTTATCTTCTTTGTTTCCTTTGCTTCAGTTGAATGGTTTTGTTTTTATTTTTCCAAGAGCTTTAGACATTTGCAGATGGCTTTTCTTCCAAACACAAGAGGAAGCAGGTTATATACAGTTCCTATTTTTAAAGGCAAGCAAAGGTTAAGGGCGACAAATAAAAAGAGACTGCAAAAAAACAAAAGAAGGGAGAAAAGTAAGAGAGGGCTGATATAGAACTCATGAAAAAAGAAATTATCTTAGTGCTGGGCATGAAAATAATGAACAGAATATAATTGTGTATTGTTAAATTGTAAAGAAGCAAAAAGAAAAACTGACATCGTTTCCTTCAATAACTGAAGGGGAGTTTAAAATAAGCAGCAGCCAAAACAAATCTCACTACAATCAGTTTTAAAAGAGTGGGAAAATCCAAATGTGACCAGAAAAGTATGCATACTCTAGAGAAAGAGGAACAATCCAATTCCCAAACTGTCTGGTTGAGAATCTTTGGGATAAGAACACACAGCACATTCTAATAAACCAACTTTAGAAATAGGTTTGGGACAAAGGAATTTGTAAAATTTTCATAACCAAAATGAAACGTCTCCAAAACTAGTAATATAGAAAGTGATGGTTTTATTTAGTAATTATAAGAAAAATTGAATATACAACTTTTGATTTAATGATATCTAGTAATTAATTTGGAACTGTATAAAACAGCCATAATTATCCAATTTTGATGTGAGATAATCAACAGGGAAGAGATACTGTGCAGTCCTTCAGTATGTTTTCTAAATAAGCAATCTTAAGATTAGGACCACTTTGTCTATATGCCCAATATTAAAAACTAGAGGCCCAGTGCACAAAAATGTGTGCACTCAGGGGTGGGGGGGGGGGGGTCCCTCAGCCCGGCCTGTGCCCTCTCGCAGTCTGGGACCCCTCGGGGGATGACCACCTGCTGGCTTAGGCCTGTTCCCCGGGGAATTGGGCCTAAGATGGCAATCAGACATCCCTCTGGCAGCCTGGCAGCCCTCGGGGAAGTCCACTTGCCAGCGGGGAGCAGGCCTAAGCTGCAGTTGGACATCCTTAGCATGCTGAGGAGGCAGGAGAGGCTCCCACCACCACCGCTGTACTGGCAGCCATCAGCCTGGCTTGTGGCTGAGCAGAGCTCCCCCATGTGGGAGCACACTGACCACCAGAGGGCAGCTCCTGCATTGAGCATCTGCCCCGTGGTGGTCAGTGTGTGTCATAGTGACCAGTCATTCCCAGTCTTTCTGCTGTTAGGGTCAGTTTGCATATTACCCTTTTACTATATAGGATAGAGGCCTGGTGCACAGGTGGGGGCCAGCTGGTTTGCCCTGAACGGTGTCCCGGATCAGGGTGGGGGTCCCGCTTGGGTGCCTGGCCAGCCTGGGTGAGGAGATGATGGCTGTTTGCAGCTGGTCACACCCCCTTTAGGGTGGGGGTCCCCACTGGGGTGCCTGGCCAATTTGGGTGAGGGGCTGAGGGCCGTTTCCAGGCTGGCCTGTGACTGAAGCTCCCAGCCTCTCCTTTTTTTCTTATTCTGAGATTTATTTACCTTCTATAATTGAAAACATTGTTGCCATCACTGGCGCTCCCCGCTCTGAGGCCGCGGCCGGCTGAAAGCAGGTATCTGGGGTTAGTTTAGCTTCTATAATTGAAACATTGTTGTTTTCGGGCTCAGAGCCGGGCCGCGGCAGGTGGGGAACCTTGGCTTCCTCCATCACTGGAGCAAGCAACCCTCATGTTCGCTTCAGCTGCGTGGCTGCCGGCTGCCATCTTTGTTGGCAGTTAATTTGCATATCACCCTGATTAGCCAATGGGAAGCGTAGCGGAGGTACGATTAATTACCCTTTTTGTCTTTTATTAGATAGGATGAATAATTATTTCAAATGGTCATCTATTAATTTTGCTCTGTGCCTGGTGACTACAGGGAAACTAAAAGGAATTGAAATTTACTTTCTACTTTTTAAAAATGTGGGGAAAGGCTTGAAATGTAAATTCTTCACCAACTTTAATACTTTTTTTAAAAAAACAGATATTTTTTTTCTATTTCTGCAAAAAACAGAGGATAAAACTTAAAAAATTTACTTTGCACAAAGAAAGAACTTCCCAGTTATAATTACTGAAGTCTTTTTTATTCATATTTAGCTGATCCCCCCCCCTCAAATTTTATGTATATATAAAACAGATGCTCTTTTTACTTTTTTTGGTTAATCCTCACCCAAGGATATTTTTCCATTGATTTTTTGTTTGTTTTGTTTTGTTTTAAGGGAGAATGGAAGACAGAGGGAAAGACAGAGAGAAACATCAATGTGAGAGAAACACATCAACTGGTTGCCTCCTGCATGCACCCCTGCCTGGGAAGAGCCTGCAACCAAGGTACGTGCCCTTGACTGGAATCAAACCTGGGACCCTTTGGTCCACAGGCTGACCCTCTATCCACTGAGCCAAACCAGCTAGGGCCAGATGCTATTTTTAAATAATAGGTAGGTACATACTTTCTCCAGACACATTCACTCTCAGCCCCAGATGAAGTATCTAGATTCATCCCGATAAATGAAAATGCATATGTACAAGCCCTGGACGAGACATCTCCTTAGGAACTGTTCCTTCTTATGGGCATTTTCCAGTTATGTTGGTCTTATCAAATTTCTATAAAAATTTAACTTTACGCTTGGTTGGGCAACACAAAGAAATATCTCAGTTTCTTCCTAATCTAGCTGCCTAAATCCACCTGCAAAGCATCAGGTCTTCCCCACATGTTTAGTGTCTAAGGACACACTATTTCTTAAGTAGTATTTTACTAGTACATCGGTGCTTTTCTGTAGTGCACAAGAAGACTCTTCAGGACAGGTACAGAACTTTTTTTAAGTGTTGAGTCTGTCTCCCTTTTCCAATGCAGCAAACTCTTGATTAACCATGTCCCCCACACCCAACTCCACCCGGGAGTGTTAGCCACAGCAAAGCTATAATTAGGGACTGGATTCCTTCCAGTTAGCACACATTCCTGGACTGCTTTGCTTCAACTACAGTAAATATAGGCTCAAAACTAGTCGAACTCACATGAAGATTACCCAAACAAAAACACTGGGAAAATAAATCTGCTGGTCTCTTTTCTAAATATAATGTATCCCAAAGCAAAACACAAACATGTTAGTTTAATAATGTACATACAAGTCTTTTTTAAGTATAAATGACAAGTTTTATTTAAAAAGTAATCGTCCTCATCATACATATATAATAAAGTATTCTAAAGCAGTCTTGGGTTTTTCACATTATGTTTGGGGCCACATGTATCACTGCTCTCCTCCAGTAAGTCATGAGCTATTACACACCAGAATTTTTGCAAATAAGGTACTTCATGAGGCAGACTGTCAAGAAATAATGTAATTGCACAACTTATATTCATCTACAGAACTATTTCTCAGTTGTGAACTAATTACTATGCTTGGAAAATGCTAGCATCCTCATAAATATTTCAGTTAAATTATGGTGCAAAATGTAAATTTTACAAACTTTGAAATGCACATTTTTGTGACATCTAAGCATTTCCCTGAGAGCATAAGGAATGTTATTCATATAACATTCCAGCTACACTCGGGAAGACTCTTCATGAAGAAGACACCGCAGAGGTAAAATACCTAAGAGGAGATGGTAAGAACAATCTGAGGCCCTAGCCGGTGCGGCTCAGTTGGTGGGAGCATCATCCTGTGCACCAAAAGGTGGCGGTTTGATTCCCAGGTTGTGGGTTCGATCCCTGGTGGGGGAGTGTGCAGGAGTCAACCAATGGATGTTTCTCTCTCTCTCACACTCTTCCTTCTTCTCTCTAAAATCAATAAAATAAAATATGTGGGTTTATAAGTGGAGTAAAAGAAACAACTATGGAAAGCAGGACCAGCTGAGAATTCACCCCGAGGAAGGGGTGAATGTGACAGGGTTGCCCCTGTCCCCAAAACATCATTTCCCTTCTATAAATTGTTGGGATGCTTTTCCACTTTACTTTGAAGCATTGCCATTTTCTGTGGAAGTCACTGGGTTCTGAGGCATGGCCTTGTAAAAATGCAGCTGCAGCATTGTGTGGCAACTGCATCATGCAGGTATTGGTGAGTTTCAGACGAGGGGAAGATGATCCCAAGTCATTCATTCTTTCTTGGAAAGGAGTTTGATCAGATTGTTTTCTTCTGATCACCACATGATATCAGCTATACTAAGAAAACTGATTGGCAGTAGGAAGGTGGGTGACTTTGGAATATGAAGAACCACAGGAGGTAGAGAAGGCTAGGAGAAGGGCCCTGATCCAGGAAAGGAGGCCAGCAAACCTCACAGGAGTATACCTGGGCCCTAATGGCATTAGGGGATGGAAAGGGCTGCAAAAATGGAAGACAGACCTTGTTCTTAGGAAAAGAGATGGAATGTCTCTGTTTTCAGACAATAGAGCAAATCGAATAATCTACCACTTCAACAAACCATTACATTATTAGGGAATAGCTACAAATATTCTATAGGCAAGTACTTTATATTCTGGAAATACAATCAAGAGACAATGCTTTAAGGCTACACATTAAGGCTACCTGGATTATTGTGCAAGCAACAAAGACATTTTTTTTGCAAAAGGTAACATAATTAAACACTATTTCCATCTTAGGAAAAGCTATTGTAAGCCAACTAGACATTCAAAATGGAATCTTAACTCTTATTGCTATTATTCTATTGCAGGGCAGATTATCACTCAAAACTGTCTATTTCAGAACACCAAGAAATTCTCACTTTTTTGTTATCTTTTAAGTAAGGCTACATCAGAAAAAAGACTTTTAAAGTAAACTTTTCTTTTGTGTTTAAAGTGAAATTTATTACAATACAATAAGTGCAAGTGTTATTAAAAATGCTGGTTAAAATTATAAAGTGTCTATATATTTTTTCTAATATAAATATTGGAAATAATAACTTCAACAATTCTATATGTACACAGAACACTGAAAACATAAAATCATGCACAAGGTCAAAATGTAACTTTGCATACTGTCCTTTTAGGGATCACTTTTATCTTCTTCTGGGCTCAGTATGATTCCAGAATATGAAAGGATATGCTAATTACTCAGATTACAAACTTAAAGGGTCAGTGTTTTGAATGTACGTCAGTTATCACACATTAACAATACTCTAAAATCACTGCTTCTACTATTCTGATTAAGTGGTTCTAATTCCCATATTTCCCTTTCTCTTGGACATCAAGTTGAGCTAGAAAAACTGTGATTATAGGATCCAGCATGACATGTATTCCTCATGATTCATTTAAAAGTGGCCTAAAGTGTTACTATTTATATAAAAAGTCCTACAGGACATAAAAGATAGTAAGTACATCAGCATGTAAGGAAAATTAAGCAGCTCACCCTCTGCTTGCTTACCTGGTTCCATGTCTCTATAGAAAGGATGGACCACAGCCATGAAGAAGCAAGGACCAATCAGAACTGCTGATAGTATGTGTTTGGGGAGGGGAGGAGGAGCAGCACAGGAAGGAATGGGACAGAAGTGTCGGATAATAAAGGGAAACTAAACGGAATCACCTATCTAGTCTTCCTCATCCTGTTAAAGCAGGGACTGGTTCCTGAGAACACTTCATAAATTTGAGGAACAGCCTACACATTACAGGTGAGGACATTTCACAAATACCAAAGCGAGTCTGAACTAGGCCTCAACATGGGGGCAGGTGAAACAATTTTCATAAATGAGCAGAGGTTAAGGGGTTCTGCAAGGGGAAGAGAAGGGAACTGTGTATGATACTTAGTCCTCTATGACAGCGCTTCTCATCCAATTCACTTGGGGGTCTCATCAAAATGCATTGGGTCTGGGGTGGGGCCTCAGATTCTGCATTTGTAGTAAGTGCCTAGGAGATGCCGATGCTCTTGGTCTATGGACCACACTCTGAGAAGCAAGGGTCCACCACACAAAGAGGGAGCCACCTCTGTCTCTCTGGGCCACAAGTGTATCTTGAAATCCTGAGCAGAACTGAGACCTGCTCCTATCCAAGCACATCCCCAGGCAAAAGGTGTAGATGCATTGCATATGTGAGCAGCTGGCTACAAGACTGTGTTAATATATTTTCTGAGAGCACCATGACTATATGAAGAGCCAAGTAACATAATTCAACGTGAGTACATGGAGTGGTCTATTTGCTGGTACTAAAACAAATCTCTTTCTCATACAGTCCTCCTTAAAGTGAACATGATATAAAAGTATAAAAAAAAACAACCCAGCATATTGAATTTCATAGCAAAAAGCCACATGTGCACACACATATAGTATGAATTATAAGAAATTAAATGCGTTTTATCAGAATATAGTGCTACCACTGCTCCCAGCTAAAATCATCTCCTCTTCCAAATACAAGGAAAAAACCTTGAATTGTAAGGAAGATGACTGCATTGCCTGCCAGCACAAGGCCACACGCTCCCCATTTGATCTGAAACACAAGAAAAAAGGATTAAATATTTACTTTCATCATATTACATTCTTTGTAAATCTGTTATTTTCTGCATTAGAAAAATTCAATGAAATATTACATAAAACTGCTAAAAGGCTTAATGTAACAGGCAGGAGACAGTGAACTATTCAGTAATTAGTCTAATTACTTCATGATGCTTGTTAATTAAGTCTAGTATCATCCGTAACATTTTCTCCATTAGACATATTTCTCTACTTGCTTTCAGCAGACAATGATGGCCTTAAGTAAAATACACGCAGCTTATTATAAAAGGTCCAATTGCAACATTGGGTACTGAAAGTTCTATACACATTGCCTTCTTTCACAAAAACAGGAATTAGAGAATTATGGATTTGTTTCTTTTCTAGGCAAGAAAAGATTTTTAAAAATAATCTGCATGCAAATGAAAACAGCTTCCCAGCGTGGCAGATGATTTTACAGAGGTACAGTTGGGGATGAGAGTACCCTCTAGTGGGCATTTTTTGTTTTAATTTAACCAATAGAAAACAACAATGGAAGTTGCTTCATATAACATGATGTAGTAATGAAAGGTAAAAATACAAATCTCTACAGCAAAATTTAAGAAGTATTTAGTCTGAGGTATAAAAACAATAAGGTCATGACAATCTTGCATTCAAACACCACTGATGCTTCTCTATTATCTAGAGAGTGTTCAAACTATTAGGACATTCAAAACCCTTCCTGATCAGGCTTCACCAACCTTTCTAACCTCAATCTCAATTACTCCTTTTTGCTCCATCATATTGGACTACTGCTCTTTATTCCACATATTAATTGCATTTCCACAGTTGGATGCCATTCCATTTAACAGCCTTCCCTACTTTAATCAAAACCTGATTTATCAAAAACCACATCAAATACCAGATAGTATTTCTCTGAGTGTTCCCAAGGCATTCTGATACTGTTTTAATTACCACATAGTGCATTTACGGTATTATATGCTTATCCATCAGGTTAGTTTCTGTGCTCTTTGGGAACAGAGACAGCATCTGGCTCTTATTCCTGGTGTCTGACAAATAGCAGATGTTACAAAAATATTTACTAAATGAATAAATAAGACTTGTACATATCTGATATTCAATGCCCCAATAAGTTTCATGAAATTGAAAGAGTATGTAATTGGGGGAATAAAAACAAAGAGTATAAAAAAATCACCATTTAAAAAACAATAAAAAAAATAGAGTATAAAAGACAGTGAATGTCAAAGAATGGAATAAATACACCCACAATGTGTTTTTTATTTACTCTATTTTCTAATAGCTATATAGTTAGTTGTCCCTCAACATATACCTACTGTGTTGACTTGAGAATTGTGTCCATGATCTTATTGAAGAAGAATTTGATATGATATTATGGTACTGTGTTTTATAATAATACTAGAGGCCTGGTGCACAAAAATCTATGCACTCGGGTGGGTCCCTCAGCCCAGCCTGTGCCCTCTCCCAGTCTGGGACCCCTCGGGGGATATCCATCTGCTGGCTTAGGCCCGCTCCCCAGGGTATTGGGCCTAAACTAGCAGTCAGACATCCCTCTGGCAGCCCGGGAGCCCTCGGGGGGATGTCCACTTGCCAGCGGGGAGCAGGCCTAAGCTGCAGTTGGACATCCTTAGTGCTGCTAAGGAGGCGGGAGAGGCTCCCACCACCACCACCACTGTACTGGCAGCCATCAGCCTGGCTTGTGGCTGAACAGAGCTCCCCCTGTGGGAGCGCACTGACCACCAGGGGGCAGCTCCTGCATTGAGCTTCTGCCCCGTGGTGGTCAGTGTGTGTCAAAGTGACCAGTCATTCCCAGTTGTTCTGCTGTTAGGGTCAATTTGCATATACCCTTTATTATGTAGGATAGAGGCCTGGTACATGGGTGGGGGCCGGCTGGTTTGCCCTGAAGGGTGTCCTGGATCAGGGTGGGGGTCTCGCTGGGGTGCCTGGCCAGCCTGGGTGTGCGGCTGAGGGCCGTTTTCAGGCTGGCCACACCCCCTTCAGGGAGGGGGGGTCCCCACTGGGGTGCCTGGGCAGCCTGGGTGAGGGGCTAATGGCTGTTTTCAGGCTGGCCAAGCCCCCCAGCGGGGACCCTCACCCCATGAGGGTGTGGCCAGCCTGGGTGAGGGGCTGATGGCTGTTTGCAGGCTGGCCACGGCCCCCAGCCACCCAAGCTCCCAGTGGAGGCTGGCTGGAAGCAGGTACCTGGGATTTATTTATCTTCTATAATTGAAACTTTGTTGCCTTGAGTGGAGGCCACAGCAGGCCAGGCAGGCGGGAAGCTTGGCTTCCTCCATCGCCTGGGCAACCAAGCCTCCTGCTTGCTCCAGCTCCGTGGCTGCCAGCCATCGCTATCTTGGTTGGGTTAATTTGCATACAGTCGCTCTGACTGGCTGGTGGGTGTGGCTTGGGGCGTAGCAGAGGTGTGGTCAATATGCATGTTTCTCTTTTATTAGATTAGATATATTTGATCTTCTCCTTTCTGGCACATAGCTCCTAAAACACTTGGAATTTTCTAAGTGATAACAGTGATAAAGGTGACTTTTATTATGTTAATACTAGAGGCCTGGCCTGCAGGACCGGCTCTACAACATTCCCTGAGGGGTCCCTGATTGTGAGAGGGTGCAGGCCAGGCCAAGGGACCCCACCGGTGCACAATCGGGCCGGAGAGACGCAGCAGGTTGGCCAGCCGGAGAGGGTCTGCAGGAGGGCTCCATGGCGTATCCAGCCCATCTCGCTCAGTCCCGATCAGCTGGACTCCAGCAGCAAGCTAACCTACTGGTCGGAGCATCTACCCCCTGGTGGTCAGTGCACGCCATAGTGAGTGGTTGAGTGGCCTTAGCATATTATTAGCATATTATACTTTGATTGGTGACAGATGACCGGACCCTTAGCATATAGGCTTTTATATATAGATGTGACTTTGAAAGCACAAGGGACGGGGCTGTGCTAGAGAGCAGCATGTGCTTAGAGGGACAAACTTTAGTCCCA